TCTAAATGATTGGGCTTTGAAATGATCGACAATTATTATATAAATATAGCCAATCATACCGAACCTTTGCTATGCTCTATTACGTCAAGTATCAAATGTTACACAAAATAAAGGAGTTTCTTGGCGCCAAGGGTGGACGGGCGAGTCAATAGCAATTATTGACAATTATTAAGGGCGGGTGGGTGGGTTAACTGTTTTTAACAATTTTAATAAGGGTGGGTGGGTTAATTTGTTTGTTTATTATTATTTAACTCGGGTCCTTTAAGGGATCCCTGTTAAAATTTTAAGTGAAACATTTTTTTTAAACGTGACCAACAATTCTCTCCTATTAGAGGGAAGATTACATTTAGAGATTTAAAAATCTATAGATGTAATATTAGTTGGGGTGTGCATTTAGGGAGGTGTTTTATAGGACGTGCACTTAAGAGTGTAGCATTTAGAGGGGTCTGACTGTAGTACCAAAACTATTCTATTGAACATTGCTTTGAATACATAAACTTTGCAATAACATAACCGTAATATAAAAATTATCTATTTACATGTTTGATTAATAAATTCCAGGAATAAAAATATAAGGAACCCGCCTACAGTACTCTTCCCAATCTTTCCCATATTTTTTAGCACATCTTTCCATATCTCTGTAAACTCTGTGTGTTAACACAGCTACAAAAAATACTGGATAAAAATACGTGATGGCTGTATTAAATCCAGTAATAAACCCCCATGAAAAAGCCATCATCAAATCGGCTGTATAATGAATCTTACGTGCAATTCCCCACCATCCACCTGTCAATAACGGGCTTCCATATTTTGTTTTAATGTAAGTCGGATTTTTCAATGTTCCCCATGGAAGCTGTGGAAATGTATATCTTGGAATATAACAACCATTAATTATCATTCTGAAACGATTTTTTTGTGAATTAGCCGTATCCCTGTTATGTTAAAGGGATTCATAATGCATGCATTAGAAATTGAAACTTTGATATTTATCCAATATACGATATTGGAAAAATAACATGACTACAACAAAATCACGTTATCACGCGTAAAGAAACTAATCACTTACCAAATATAATATCCTGATAATAACAATGCATAACAAAAGTAGGTCCAAAATTGCGAATGTTGTATAGGTTGATTATTATCGATGCTATTATTGTGAAGATATATTGTTGCATAGCAATATGTAAAAGGCACTACAAGTATCAATGTAATCAATTACTAGTTCAAAATAATACATAATATAACAATTTATATAAATATTTTATACCTCCTGCAAGATTCCAAAAAATTAACATAAATCCAAACTATAGATAATTAGAATTGAAGGTTAATAGCGCAGAAACTATTAAGACAAAAAAAAAAAAAAAAATCAATATTTGTATGTAATTACCTTTTCATAAGTCATATCCCACGTAGTTGGGATGCATTCTTCACCTTTAGCACAAGCATTCACGTACAAGAAATGAGCAAGAACCATAAATGCCATAGATGAAGAGATATAACCAAACAACTCATATTCTTTAATTGCTGCCGAGACTGAAATATAAAACAAAAGAACCTGTGTATGCAATAGTAATGGACAATTAATAGCCGGTACTTGAACTGATAAATTCCCACTAATGGTATGATTAAAATAATTACCCAAGGTATGCGAATTTCTGCAAACATTTTGAGGTCTACCCGTCCAAGACGCGGATTCAATGCAGCACCCATGAAAAGATCATACATTAAATATCCTGACATACGATACTGTTTTCCTTGCATAATAGTAGTAACATATATGACCAATGTGACAACGAAGCCAGAAATTACTGCAGCAGACATCAACGGACCAAAATTATCAATGATTTCTGTGAGACGGAACCATCCATAATAGTGTAGAACAAATGAAGTAACAATAGTGGCGTACCAAGAAGCCACGCCATTACAAAGATAGTCCAATTTCTTGCCTTTCAAAGAAGAAACGGGCGCACCCTTAACAATCGGACCAGGCATAAAGTAGGCCAAGAATAATTCAAAAAGGCAGAATAATACATATATTTTTGTTGCGTACCAGGTAGGATATGCACCTTTGAATATTTGACTCCAAAGCTGGCCGTCAAGAGGTGATACTAACTTTCCACGATAAAAATGCAGACAGCCCCATAAGTAATACATTAGAACTGGAAACCCAATCATCATAGCAGTAACTCCCCAGGGACCACCGAATTCAAACACAATTTCTGAGTCTATAATTTCATAATGTTTGTTAAATGTGGGAGCGGTATTAATTTTGGGACTTTTATCATGTTCAGCACTTTTTTGCACTCGTTTTGTTGCCATTTGTTCGGTTTAAATTTTATCTTTAATTCGAATTCCTTTTTTCGCGTTAAAACGTGAAAATGGTACATGAATGTCCTCGAACCAGATGAAGCTATTTATCGCAATGAGATTAACCAATGGATTTCACGTTACACCAGATTATATTGTATATTGTGATATGACCTATTTCGCTGTTACCGTTATACGTACGTACGTAACAGTTACAAAAAGGCAAACGGCTAAATGTATATGAAGATACAAGTAGTCGTGTATGAAGTCACGATTACTCTTTATTTATTAAGTTATCGTAAGAGAAAGATTTATACATTTAGAACATTAGCTAGTTTTATGATTAGAGATGGGCAAAATGCACATTTTGCCGATCACCATGCAACTTACCATGCAGACGACCATGCACATGAATAATAAGTAAAACATATTAATCATGCACATTGCAATCTGCATGATCGCATCTCTAGTTATGACTAGCTATGCCGTATCTATTACGTACTTATAATAAAACTAGCATTTATCATTAGAGCTAATATATCAATCAATAGCTAATATATTTGTTAATATATATGCTAATAATATTTTTACTACGTAGAACTTGTAGCATTCTTAGCATTTGTGTTACATTATTGTGGTCTCTATTAATATAATAAAAAAGTTAGAATAGGGGGTTTCAAAGTTAAAATGCGGAAATCTAATTTTTATTGAAATTGGTTACAGATTTATTTTCAAATGACGATGTATTAACTTTATTTCATTTTCTGATAAA